CCCCAAAACCCCAAAACCCCAAAACCCCAAAACCCCAAAACCCCAAAACCCCAGCCTGGACGTAAAATATTGAAATTCTAGTGCGAATTGATGAAATTTGAGGATTATTGATGCTTAACAGCTAATCAAAGGTTCCTTAGATACTAAGGCAAGGTGGACTCTGTAGTTAACCACCTTCTTCAACCATGTAAATAGGGATAAAGATGCTTCACTAGTCTAGAGGAATAAAGAGCATCACTTACTGCTTTGACCTTCTTCTCGGTCAGACCTGACATTTGAGAATGAATCTTAGTGAGAGTTTCAACATTTGTTTGATCATAATCATATTCTGAGATCAACTGTTCAAAGTTTCTTCTTTTAATGGCAGATTTGATTGCTTTCCAAGATTTATCCCTCTCTCCTAAAGCCTCCATGACTGCAGTGAACACTTTAGAAACAGCCAATGGTGGGCATGCAAGAGAAGAGATGAACTGAATATCTTTGGTATTAAACTCAACTTGATATTCATCAATTACAGTTTTGACTTCTTCTAAGTTTTCAGTGTTAAGCTTCATCTCGTCTGGACCAAAGAGGACTATTCATAAAGGATCAGGACTTACATAAATCTTCCCATGACTTAAAATCAGTCTTGCTCTCTTCCTTAGCCTCTGCTCTTCTCCTTGGTTTGGAGCTGTGTGCAGTAGCAGGCTTGGAGATTGCTTTAGTTGGACTTTTCTTCTTAGGTGTATTTTCTGGAACTAGCTCTTCATTGGTCAATGCCTGGTAAACTCTTTGGTTAACAATTTTCTTAAGCCACATATAAAACCCAGCAGTACACTTCGATACCTAAATGAAGATTAAGTCTCAGCAGATGACACTGACTTACGCATTTAACTGATCCTAAATGCAGGTCCTTAATATGAGAGTAAATCTTCTTGCATGCAATGAAGTCAATATTATTGTCTGCATCGAACTGGATTAAATTTCTGAGAAACCCTATTTGATTGATGAATTTTTTGATATGAGCCCAATCATATTGAGTTTTACCCCTCTCAGTTTTGACGAGGAAAGCAGCCATAACTCCATTTAGAACTTTGGTAACTACGACAGGAGGTCTGGACAGGGATTTAAGCTCTGTTATATCAGCTATTGTAAGACCAATGTCAAAATTATCAAGGGATTCCTTGACAAGCTCAAGACTATTAGGACCTAAATGCTTTTCTTCAGGACCAAAGATAACTATAAAGTAACACATGAATTATACATAAGTCTTCCCATGTACTAGGATTGTCTTTTACTACTCTGTCAGTAGAACTATCTTCTTCCTTTGGCATCACTACTGATTTAGTTTCTTCTTTAGAAGCCTCCTTCTGAGGGATACTTCTAGTTGGAATTGGTTCATTATTATTCAAGGCTCTTAAGACTCTGTAATACACAATAGCTCTAAGCCAGTTAAAGAACCCAGAAGCACAAAGGCTCACCTATAGAGGCCATTAACAAGGATCTAAATTCTTTCTTCCCAAAATTTAGGACTGTAAAACGTAACCTTACTTTTGAAACTTGAGGCGAACTCAACTCTCCAATCTTCTTACTGATCTTCTTGCAAGTACTATAATGAATAATTTAGGTTACAAGTAATCAATATTGTCTTTGTCATAGTTCTTCATTAACTCTAAGACCTTCATTGGTTTATTCAAGAACTTTTTCTTATTTTCCCAACTGAGATTCCTGATCCCAAAGGTGATTACCAAACCGCTCAACACAGTCTTCACAGTGGCTGGCGGTTTAGAGAAAGATTTAAGTTCTGTAATCTGCTGTCTGTTTATCTTTGAAATACTTTCAGCTGCAGCTGAAAGTATTTTCATGACAAACTCTTCCTTATCAGCAGTTGCAAACTCTTCCTGATCATCATCAAAGACTATGGGTTAGGGATACATCTTACTCAAGTCTTCCCATGATGAGGAAGGAGTTGCCTCAGGACTAGTACAAGGAGGAGACTTTGTCTCCTCCTTGCTAAGACTAGGAGAATTACTACCTTCAGAAGGACTCTTGATAAGTGATGATGGATCCTCACCAGAGAGTCCTCTATAAATTCCAAAGTAGACTATTCCTTTTAACCAAAGATAAAATCCAAGCGTTGCGTAACTCGCCTATATAGTGATGTCACTTTCTGTCAACAGAATTTATTCATTTTTCCTTTTCTGAGAAAATAAGAATGAATTTCTGGGTTAATTTTGCAAAAATTTTTATCAGAAAAATGTAAAATCTCTTATGGAAGATGGTTGATCTCAAAAATTCACAGAAAGCTCTTGGCAATTTTAATAATAATGATCAATGAAATCTAGTCTTAATGGTACGCCCAAATATAAAGTAAATTGGTTTGCTTCAAGATTTTAGACGCTACGTTGTACTATTAACCAACTTTGTCCATAATGAAGATATTCTGATATCAGAAGTAGGGTGAAATTCTGATCAAAAATAAGGGATGAGCTTTCAGCACTGCCTTGCAAAAAATTTTAAACCAAATTCAGAGCTTTTTATTGAATTTTCCTAGCTTAAAACATTAGATCTTTATTTTCATTAAATCATGGATATTTCCTGATGAAAATACAAAGAGATATTAAAAATCTAGTCAAAATGGTATCCAAAATATTATATAGTAAATTGCTAGGTTAGGGATGATCAAAGCTAAAAGATTCACTTACAGCTTTGGCCTTTGAAGACTCAACCTCTTTGAGATATTCATGAATCTTCTTACAAGTCTTGAACTCAATATTTGCCTTATCATAGTTCAAACAATCTTTCAGCAAAGTTTTCGATCTAAGAAGTGCTCTGGCGTCATCCCATGAATCATATTTCTCTCCAAAGGCTGCTAGGAGAGCTCCAAATACCTTGGTGCATACCTCAACTGGCTTTTTAACAGCACTCATTTCTTTGACACCAGCTGGGGGTATCATCTCTATGTTCTGGACTCCTTCCAACATAGTTTTTGAAATAAAATCTAGTTTATTTGTCCCAGAGAATTCTTCCTCGTCTTCATCAAAAACTAAGAATCAGGCAAGAGAACTTACTTAGGCTCTCCCAAGGCTGGACAGCCTTAGCTGGAGCTTTCTTAGTCTCTTCTAACTGATGGACTATTTCTGATAAGAACATTGAGATACCTTGACTTTGATCTATGTTAGATTCAGTGACAATATCCTGGCTAGATACTGTTACATAGTCTTTCTGTTCCTCAACATCAACATTGTGTTCTACACAAAGGGTTAACTAAGGTAGGTTAAGCCTTACCTTTAGTTGCTTGCATTTGTTAGTTATTTTATTATTCCTTCCCAATATTGTGATCTTTATATGGGGTTTTGGGGTTTTGGGGTTTTGGGGTTTTGGGGTTTTGGGGTTTTGGGG